ATTATTATTATTATTATTATTATTATTATTATTATTATTATTATTATTATTATTATTATTATTATTATTCAGCAATCCAATTCCCCAAGAACCCTGGAGTCCCTCCGGATTTTACTCCGCTAGTTGCTGACTATAGGGGTAGCTGCTCAGTTCCATTTCAAGGCCATTGAGCCAGTGCTATCTGAAGATATTTCACTTGACCAGCATGACATCAAAGAGCGCTGTTACCTTTCCACCAAAGTGATACATGTTTATCTACTTGCATTTGCATGTTTTCAAACTGCTAGGTTGGCAGGAGCTGGGGCAAAAAACAGGAGCTCACTCCATCGCATGTGCTCGGGTCTTGAACTTGGGCTGCCGGTTTTCTAGCCAAGAAGCCCACTATCTCAACTGCTGAGCCATCATGACACCCCCCCCCCCAAACTGGGCAGCCTATTATTAAATATAGAGGAAAGCTTGTTATTAAATATTGAATGAAATTTGTATCCAGTATATCCAAATGTTTTCAGGAGATTATTTAAAAGAAAAAAGTATTGCCCCTTGTGTTTGATATGGACTGAGAAATCCCAAAGCTGACCTAGAATAGGGAGAATGAAACTAGATACAAAGAATGAGCACTTAGTTCCTAACTATAGATTCTGGAGTTGCTTCATGCACACAGCATTTTGTGGGTACTGAATCTCTAGGATGAGATTTATCATGAAACGGAATGAGAAGTGACAGAAAAGTAAGATATCAGACCAACCTCAGAAGAAATAAAGGCTCTTGAAGAAGTAAAGGCACACTTGTTGTTCTGGACTTGTGGGGATTATGAGGGAATAGAGAAAGGCTCTTGCTACAATATGAAGACATCTAGAAATGGATGGGGAAGCTTACATTTCTGGAGTGGAATACTCTGGAGATCTCATCCGTGTTCCTTCTTTGAGACGTCGACAAAAGTCCTCATCAATATGGACCCCTGGATATGGAGAAGCCCCTGTGTGGGTAAATATGGAGCAATGAGGTCCATTCACAAATATAGTTTCATTGTGTCTCTTCCAGAGGTTCTATAACTGTAAGGGAAAGGAGTGTGTATACCAGGAGTATATGGGTATGCAATACAGTCCATGGAGTAGATGACCTACAAGGTCCCTTTCAACTCTGTTAATCTGTATTTGTCTGGAATAACTTATTGCACATCCTATTTTGGCTTTCATTAGTTGTAGAAAAAAAGAAGAATCTCAGAACAGGCTTCCTTTAGCTGCATTTCTGTCAGACGAAATGAAATGTTTGCTCTGGAGAAGATTAAGGTATTTCCTGAAAATCTTCTGCTGTGAAGTCAGGGACAACTGCAGAAGAGGCAGCCACTAAAAAAGTCAAGAGGCCCTCTTCACTATGTTGACTTTATGGCCCCCTTGTGAATGCTCTAGATCGGGGGTCTCCAACCTTGGCCACTTTAAGCCTGGCGGACTTCAACTCCCAGAATTCTCCAACCAGCTGGCTGGGGAATTCTGGGAGTTGAAGTCCGCCAGGCTTAAAGTTGCCAAGGTTGGAGACCCTGCTCTAGATGGAGGGAGAGATTGATTCCCCCATAGATCAGGAGCATGTATTATTTTTGCAAGTGATGGGATACACATAAACACTGGAGTGAAAAGACAGGGGCTATACACTCAAAAATGGGGTAGTTTTAGAAAACTAAATTTCACTTATATCTAAATGTAGTTACAAAGTTTACTCTGGAGTATGTCTAATACCATCTCTTGTTTCGGTCTCTTTTTTTTTATTTGCACTTGTGTCAGAAGCACTGAGGTGCTTCAGGGTTGAGAGGATCAGCTGGTGGCATCACTGTTGCCTGGGGGACACCCAGTTGGGGGCTCCATTCATGTCCCCTGGCAGGAGCTGGAGCAAAGACCCTGTCCCAACAGTAGCACCTGGGTCTCGAACATGGGCTTGCTAACCTCCACGCCAGCCGGTGTCCTAGCCATGAGAGGCACCGTGCTCTCCTTGGGGCTCATTGAAATAACTGCTTGTAAATGCAAACAGAACCAAGGTACCTTCTATCATATGTGGTAGACATGCCCGGAAGCCCAAAAATACTGGACTAAAATATGGAGAAATAGTGGAAGATCAGATAGAGTTTAAACCCAAATTGTTCTTGCTGGGAATAATTAAAAGGAAATATAGGAAAAAGATTAAATATATTTTACTACATATATTGACAGCAACAAGGATAGCATTCGCACAATGCTGGAAACAAAATAATATGCGCTCAGAGGATTAGTAATTCAAACTTTTTTAGATTGTGTTGAAATGGATAAACTGACATTAAAATTAAAAGATAAAGAAGAGTCAGAGTATTATGAAATTTGGGACAATTGGTATGAATGGTTGAACAATAGAAGTAAGGATAATGGAGATAAGAAAATTATAGATAAATGTATATGAATGTATATAAACCTATATAAATGTAGATATTTATATGAGATTGATTTATATAATAATGATGACACAGTGCTATTATTATTAAGATTTAAATGTGTAAAAGGTGAAAAAGAATAATAACAATTATTGAATTAAAAAAAAAGACTACTTGTTAGGTTTGAGGACTTTCTGAATTTAACCCCAAGATTTTGGGAAGTTGTCATGCTTTCTTGTTTGCAACAGGCAGACAAAATGGCCACCTTTCCCCCTTTTTTCTTCGATAGGATATGCTCAGGAGCAAAACTCCAGCGCAGATTGTCCCAGAAACTTTTGAAATGCCAAATCAATAATGACGAATCAATAAGAAGTTCTGAAAAATGGTCCAGACAGAAAAGCTGCGGCAAGATAAACTCCGTGTCGGCTGTCAGCACCTTGTTATTTGAAGTCTCGCGGAAGAGAGATTCCTGCTGTTACGATGCTGAAGAAAGATGACAAGAAAACTGGAAAGCATACTGATATATTAGCCTAATACAAATATCAAGGGGAAAAAAACCACACACACACTTTGAAGGAGCTGAGCAAATTTTAATTCAGCTTGAGTTCCTTGAAAAGTACAAGGAAGAAAGAAAAAGCAAAGAGTTGTTAATCCAGATCTCAGTTCGAATGTCATGTTATAGTTAGGAAAATTTCCATAGGAATCCTGCGGTTAATTTCATTGTCCAGATTTTCTACCATTTATAAATTGATGGTGCTGACATGTCTCAGGCCAGCTTTTGCTCAATTTTCATCAGATGTTCCTGTGTCCATTGGCAAATATTTCATTAAAAAAATTACACACCAGTTGGGCATGTTCATTTTAGTACAAATTGGCCTTGACCTATGTCTGTAATGGAGCCTGCCCCTTATGGGTGTAAGTCCTGGCTGTCTTAGATTGGGTCACCCTATGTGATTGATCCAATTTTACAACCCTTTTTTTGTGATAGTTGTTAAGCAAATGCCATGGTTGTGAAGTGTTAATCAGTGGTTTGCTATGGGCTTTTTTTACGGAAATAAATGGGAAGAAATGCCTGTTTTCTGCAAAACCGCCGTAAAACATGGTCATGTGGGATGCTGCAAGTGGCCATACAATGCAGTCCAGTTGCCGAGCACCCAAAATGCAGTCACAGGACTGTGGAATGTATGTGGCCATCAGAATGAGTGACTAGTCAAGGACTATATGTATGCATTTTATACTTTTTTGGGGGGTGGGGGGAGTGCAAAAGTTTTTAAAATGGCCTTCTGAGTGATGCAATTATGCTCAGAAACATGATCTAGGTTACCTGACTTGGAAAATCTACAGTTTGTACAGGAGGAGAGCCTTAGTGGGAAGTCACCCAATTAGAAAATAAGAGGTGGTGAGTTCAAATTCCGCCTTAGCCATGAGAATGGGCTGGGTGACCTTGGGTCAATCACAAGAGGACAGTGAGTTCTAGTTCCACCTTATGCCTGAAAGCTGGTTCTCTTTAGGTTCCCCCCCCCCCCCGTCCCCTCACCCACAGGGCTGTTGTTGTGGGAAAAATAGGAGGAGGAAGATGTCTTCTATATGTTTGTCACCTTGAGTTATTTTTCAAAATAATAATAGCAGGAAATTATAGATAGATAGATAGATAGATAGATAGATAGATAGATAGATAGATA